TGGTTGTTAAAAATGTATTGTTTTAATAATTCGTTAATGCATAATGCAGTTTGTTCTCACTTCAAAGCACTAATGAATTCTTAAACTTGCTGTTTTATGCGCCAAAAACTTGTTGTGTATTTTATTTTCGCAAGTGTATGAACTGTAACAAGTAATAGTGGACCTAAAAGTCCGAGTTGTCAATCCCACAAGGACTATTTTCTAGTACTTAATTCAATTGTTTCTTTAACTACTATTTGATGGAAACAAATTAAAAGTTGTATGATTTGAGTTTTAATCTAAAATTTAGAAAATAAATGAATGCTCACACGATTGGTTGGAAAATCAAATAATGAATGGATGCTAGGACAGAATAACTTCACCTAGTCCCAATTCCCTGTAAACAGGATACGACATTAGATTGATACTAGCACCAATGTCACACAATGCATTAATTGAACAGGAATTCCTGATTGAAATTGGTAAAGTAAAACTCCCTGGATCCTTCATGGCCAAGGATTTCATCATTGACTTAATTGAATGAAACGCAGATCATAATCTCCTACTATCTAAGAGTGACGAATCCTTTATTGATCAATCACAACCTTCATACGATTCTTGACGTACCCGAACGATGTCGTATTAGCGGCCCTTTTCAGAGCAACATCCAACACCGCCAAAGTATGACTGTCCTCATATAAGGTACCATGACGACCTCAAGTCAAAGGACCAATTTCACCACCGAACGTTAGAGATTAACTACCGACACTCAGAAGCTTATCCATGTGGAATCTCTCGACGGGTCTCCAATGTTTTGGTCTATAACAAACATCCACGTGTTCATTTAAGTGTCACCACACTTTAACTTGTGAGATCAGCTACTTACTTCACAAGTAAGAAATGCCACACGTGATGGTCTATCCGTAATAACGATATCCGTATCTCATTATTACTTACGACCACGAATGATTTAAGATTCAATCAGATGTAATTTGTATCTCACAATCACAACTCCTTGTGATTAACAAATTACAAATATTTGAATCTACGGATTCTATTATTTATTTAATTGTCTATTAATTAAATAATAGATCTGTCATTTAATTGCATTAATTATATATAAAAGTATTTATGTCCAAAGTTGATTGGACCTAGGGCATAATACTTACAGAAAGAATAAGATTCCGCCTTGAGAGAAGTTGGGAGACAGAATTTTTAAAGGAAAAACTTGTGCAAATAGGAGGAAAAAAATGTATGTGAACCCACCTAAATCTGCCTATGCTGGCACAAAATATGTTAAAACTATAAATTGTACTTATGGATTTCTAATATACTCCTGCATTGAATAATTGTACCACACATTTGTTGATAACAAGTGGGTAGATTAAAAAATTAAGACATTAATTATACTCTCAAGAAGGATAAACAAAAAAAGGAAATCAAGCTTAACTTTATACAACGGATGTAATACAACTATACAAGTTATTGTGTATTGGAGTGCGTATTGCGAGGAAATGAAACCTATGTAAATGCTCTTACTTAATTACAGCTACATATCCGGCACACTTAGGGTTAAGCACTAATCAAAATATCAACCCAGTTTACTTATCCAACCAATGGTGATGCTTAAAGTTAAGTGATTCAGACCAAAGAAAAGGGTTATATTTATATAATTCACTTCATCTCCTGCGATTGGTCCACAAACTAATATTGTTTTTTAAGGATACGATAGTCGGGTAAAGAAAGGCAGGAAAAAAATATTGTAATAATCACGATTTCCTTAACATGCTTTACTATGATTCTTAAAAATATATAGCAGTTCACTGGTCATGCAAGTTAAATATAATATTCCTTAAATATTGCAAAAGTTGGCAGGATAAATATTTCCTTTTTACTTATGGGGGAAAGTAAACCAAACATAAACTAAGCTCCCAAAATGAATCAGTATTTCGTTATACACAGCTCTCGAGTATGAATTAAAGTAGATGAAGACTATTGTAATGACCCGGACCTCTCGTCCAAATCGTTAGATTACGTACTGTCCACTTTGGGTGAACCTTACGCCCACTTACCCCTTACGGATTTCTTCGTGTCTCCCAAGATTCGAACTCTTGACCTCTACATAAGAGATACTTTAGTTGAATCCTGGTAACAATTGGACAGCTGAGCCTTGCACCCACTTATCCCTCACGGCTTTCTTCGCGTCCCCCCAGGATTCGAACTCTTGACCTTTACATAAGAGAGACTTAAGTTGAATCCTGATACCACTTGAGCAAGCGCTTTTTTTGTAATGACCCGGATCTCTCGCCCAAGCCGTTAGCTTACGTACTGTCTGTTTTGGGTGGGCCTTGCACCCACCTACCCCTCACTAATTTTTTGTTGCGTCCCCCAAAATTCGAACTCATAACCTTTTCCTTAAGTAAGATTTGGTACCAGGATTCAACTTAAATCTTACTTAAGGAAAATGTTATGAGTTCGAATCCCGGGGGGACGCGATAGAAAATCCATGAGAGGTAAGTGGGTGCAAGACATATCAAAAGCGGACAGTACGCAAGCTAACGGCTTGGGCGAGAGGTCCGGGTCGTTACAGAAGTCATGTTTTACGAATTTCTCTTAATTGAGTCATAATATTATCTTAATAGATTGTACCATCTTATAAATTTAGCGAATTATTTATTTACCACCTTCATCCCAAGTCGGAGCCGATTAAAAATATTATTTAGTCAAGATTATTAATTTATCAAGGTTATATTGTAATTAAATAGATATTTTCCCAAGTAATATTTCAATCTAATTATAAAATTAAATGGTTCATATTCCAGTGAATTTTTGAGAAAATACTGCAGGTTTTTCCTATTCTTTTGCGCCGAATTCGTTGATAACCTCTCAAGCCTGTAACGTTGACTGGTAGTGAAAAAATTTTGGTCAGTTGACTGTTAAAACATGACTTGCTCGTATCTAATTGTTATAGGTAAACTGTTTAAACATCAATCACAATACACAAATTAAAGTAAAAATAAAAAATAAAAAATAGTAACACAAGTGTGAAAATGAGCCAAAGGTCGAGGACCTTTACAAATTTTATTAATTTTCCAACTACACATTTCATTAATTTCTATAAAAAATTAGAGATAATCCCCTCAATAGTCACTGAACTTTACAGAAGTCTCCCCAAAAGGTCACCGAACTTTAAAACGTCCTTAAATAATCACTGAATTTTGCCGAAATCCCCCCAAGAGATCACCGAACTTCAAAATGTCCCTAAATGATCACTAAATTTTGCAAAAAGTCCTTGGAAGATCACTCAACTTTGCAAATTGGTGCCCTATACATCACTAGTTTAGTGACATTCTAGGGACTTTTGCAAATTTCAGTGACCAATTAGGGACATTTTGATATTTGGTGACCGCTTGGGGGACTTCGACATAGTTCAATGACTATTTAGGGACGTTTTGAAGTTCAGTGATCTCTTAGGGGGACTTCAGCAAAATTTAGTAACCACTGGGGGGGATTATATCCAAAATTTACTACAAATCTGATTTTTAGTTACACCAAACAATTAAATGAATAAAATACAACTAATCTATATATACGATATCCAACATCTTGATGCCATGCAATGTTGTGGTGTTCGCAGATTCTCTGAAATATCCTGATATCCAAATGTCCAGTGATGATATTATGTTTATGTCCTGATTTTCACGAATATCTCCTGTATAACTTGACTTGCATCACTAGCCCTACACCCATCCTCCACTACCACCTTCCCCATTTTTGGTACATTTGTCATCCCCATCCATAGCCTATTTTCTCTTCTATCTGGTAAACCCACCATGTCTTCTAACCCCTCATCCCATCCTCCACCCCAACTTGCATTTTCCCTTGGCTAGCTAACTCAACCCATCCATTATTTACCACATGATGCACTCTCTTCTCCTATCACCATTACATCCCTCCAACCTCTTGGTCTCTTCTTCCACTGACGCCGGGTAGGCTAGTAATTATCCTATTGGCTTGTTGTAGCAGATGATTCCCAAGAAAGAAGCGACAAAAAAGGTCCAAAAATCAGAGAAAATATTCTGAATTCAGTTCAATATTATTAATAATGCAGAATGATGAAAATTAACCCACAAGCTGGGTTAAATTGCTACGAAATACGAATTTATGGGAAAATTACAAAAAATGGCAAAATCTCGAAATTATACCAAAATAAAATAGTAAGTAAAAGAAGTAAGTTGTGCCGATCATCCATCTCATGGTATCTTAACACCATCATCTTGCTATATGACAAATCAGCATCACTCGACTCGAATCCTCCTGCATCAGTCCTCTCATTTTTTTCTTTTATCCTTTATAAAATAGACAACATACACGATTCACAATACTTTTATGCAGTTGTGTACTTAAATTATCCAATGAGATTAAGAATTTTACATCTTTTTAATGGTAAGTAGATAGAAACTATCTATTAGAATCAAAATTCTAAAAATTTAAAAGATTGAGAACTTTACTAAAACAAATAATTGATTGATAACTAGCTTATTAATTACTTCACAAATATTTTAGAAGAGTAGAGTCCTCCGTACCTATCTTTCTTATAAATATATTGAAGAGTAAAGACTCATAAGACATACGAAGATCCATATGTATCAACATCCCCTCATCTACAAATCAAGAAAAATAAAAAGATTAGAAAAGTAGTACAGATGGCAACTTCACCCCCTTTGAATTTGTGCCTCCCCGAAGGGGCTGTTCTATCACCTCATATATGCTGATAAATCAAGTCATGGTCAACAAAAACAATTCATACCGACACGTGTCCTTCGCATATCTCTATCCTCTGCTATGCATACACGTATACATGCAAAGGATCTCTTATGTTTCTCTTTCTAAAACATGAGCTGGGAAGAGATACCGTGTGCGGAATTTGAGCAGTCATAATGGAATAAATGGCCATTCTTTTGGTTTCTCTTACCTATAAATACACTCTTTTAGCTTCATTTCATTTCATTCAAACACACACACACACCCCTCAATGCCAAAAGCTGCTCATTGTCACTAATACTTCATACAATCACATGCAAGAGTTCAACAATAATGGAATTTATGTCCACAATTTGCTTGTTTTTAGTCGTCATTTTAACCTACTTTCTCATAGTTTTTCTTCTGAAATTCTTATATTCTGCCCAGACAAAGCTGCCACTTCCACCAGGAACTATGGGTTGGCCATATATTGGAGAAACCTTTCAACTATATTCACAGAACCCCAATGTTTTCTTTGCCTCCAAAGTTAAAAAGTTAGTGCAAAATCTTCATTTTGTGTTATTTTTCCTTCACCATATATTAAATTTAGTTTTCATTGCGTCGCAACTGATTTTGGAAGATGCAACCACTTCTTTGAGAAAATTATAGTTGATAGTAAATGCACAATCTAGTCCTATATCAGTCGCATGGGGGCTCGGGAATTCATCCAAGCACTATTCCTTTGGGTCTTTTACTTCAAACTATTCCTCACGAAATAATCTGCCTCATGTTCAAGTGATGCTCCTGAAATCACTTTTTGATCAGGAACCAGCCATGTGCACAATTTTAATAATAGGACGATGAAAAGATGATCCCAAGACCTTCGATATAACATGTAGAACCACGCCGTCAAGAAACTTAAGCTTTAAATATTGGGATGACGATGACAAGAGAGACACTCTCATTTATTTAAACTTAATCTTCAACATTTTCGCTGTTTGTTGTTTCAACTTTCAATAATTTATATTGCATATAATGACTGGTGTTTGATTTTGAATAGGTATGGTTCTATCTTCAAGTCTCACATATTGGGATGCCCTTGTGTGATGATATCAAGCCCAGAGGAAGCAAAACTTGTGCTTGTGTCGAAAGCTCACCTCTTCAAGCCTACATTCCCAGCTAGCAAAGAGAGGATGTTGGGAAAACAAGCCATTTTCTTTCAGCAAGGAGAGTATCATACCAAGTTGAGGAAGCTAGTTCTCACTGCATTCATGCCTGAGACAATCAAAAATAAAATATTGGATATCGAATCAATTGCAGTTAGCTTACTACAATCATGGGAAGGCAGATTGATCAACACTTTCCAAGAAATGAAAACAGTATGTTTTGCTATTTTTCCCATAACATAGAGAAAAATAATACCTCCTTTTATTGTTTTCCTTGTTCTTTCCTTTTTAGGGACTTTTGCTTATACTTCATTATAGTTTTTATGATTTAGAATATCATTTGTAATGCAATCTCAATACTAACTAATGAGGAGTTTATTAAGTTGTGAAGCTTAATTATTCTCGATGTACGGAGCAAATATGTAGATCGACCTCCGTGGTAAGGTCGTCATAGGGTTGGAAGGGGACAAGAAGCCCTCTCCCAAGGGAAGTCTGCCTCGACTAAAATTTCATTAAATAGTTTAAGAATTTCATGCTTGTAAATTTGATTTTGTCCTAATTTATATTATAAGCAAGTAGTCATCATTAGGGTTTTGCATTATTATCAAATGCAGGAAGAGGGATTAGAGAAGATATGGTGTATATATATGATTTTTTCTAGTAAACTTCTTTTGTCCCACATTAACTTGAACCTCTACATATCTTGTATGTTCTTGTATCTATTTTCTTTCTACGATTATATTGCTCTTAGTAGGAGAATTGTGGTTCGCAATTCTCAACAGGGTTGACCAAAACTAGCGTGATTTCTTATAGTAGCTAAGAATATTGTTTCTTTAGTAAGACCTGGTTTGTGTTTTTATTTTGCATTATGTAAACATATTGCCTATTCAATCGACTATCAATTTAGTTGATAACATAATTTTTTGGACTTGGATTCTTGCAGTACACGTTCAATGTAGCATTGCTTTTCATGTTTGGACGTGATGAAGTTCTATACAGGGAAGATCTGAAGAGGTGTTATTATATTCTTGAAAAGGGATACAATTCAATGCCGGTGAACCTTCCGGGAACGCTCTTCCACAAAGCCATGAAGGCTAGGAAAGATTTGGCTCAGATCTTGGCTAAAATTCTCAAACTTAGAAGGCAAATGAAACATGATTACAGCGACTTATTAGGATCTTTAATGGATGATGAAGAAGGCCTAGACGACGAACAAATTGCAGATAACATTATTGGTGTTATCTTTGCTGCCCGTGACACCACTGCTAGTCTCATAACATGGATTCTCAAGTTCCTAGCTGAAAATCCAAGTGTCCTGCATGCTGTCACTGTGAGATCACTAGAAATCTTCAGTTTTTAAACCCAAAAACCGGTTATAGAACTGAATAACACTTCCAAAAAACCGAGATGAAACAAAATCAAGATTTTAATCAATATCTTTCTACTTTTCTGGGATTTTATGAGTGCTCTCAATATTTTCTCTTCTGCAGAACTAATTTTTTCTCAATATTTTTTCTCAAAAAACCCTAATTAATCAATAGAACTGAATTTTTTTAGCCTTGACTTTTACTTTTTAATGAATCAATCTTATTCTGGGATTTCACAGGAAGAGCAAGAATCCATAATAAAGAATAAAGTAGAACGTGGCGAAGACAGGATTTTGAGCTGGGCAGATACAAAGAAAATGACAATTACAAAAAGGGTGATTCAAGAGTCGCTCAGAGTTGCTTCTATCTTATCTTTTACTTTCAGAGAAGCTGTTGAAGATGTTGAGTTCAATGGTTAGTTATTGTTTTCCAGTGGAACTGTTGGTAATTTGATTGTTGTGATAAGATGGAATACACAACGAACGGTTCCATCGCTGAAGTTGTCGACAATTTAATAGCTTATAAACAAAACCCACCATATTTTTTTCACTGCCACTGCAGCGGTGAAGCCTTCACTGACAAAAGTATGTCATCTTTGGCCTTTCTTATATAAACTATACAAAAAAGCCATAAGGCCAGGTTCAAAATCAGGCCTAAATACCGCCATGTGGTGTCCCCTATTGGAGAACTATACTGGATGGACAGGTTAGGTGTCTCCTCCAATAAGGGAGGGCCGTTTGGACAGTGCCACGTTGGCCCTGTCCAAGAAGATTTATTGGAAGTATAAAAATAGCTAATACTGATTCCTATCTATTTTTCTAGGTTATCTCATACCAAAAGGGTGGAAAGTTTTACCACTGTTTAGGAATATCCACCACAGCCGAGACAATTTTTGTGACCCTGAGAAGTTTGATCCTTCAAGATTCGAGGTAAATTTGTGTTGTTCAATTTCGTTTGGTATTGAATACAAACAAATATATGTAAGATTTTTTCATACGACGTGACAGGTTGCTCCGAAGGCCAATGCATTTATGCCATTTGGCAGTGGAACCCACTCATGTCCAGGAAATGAGTTAGCCAAACTAGAGATTTTGGTTCTTATTCATCATCTGACCACAAAGTTTAGGTGGGTGAAACTTTCTCAGACAAGTAAAATACAAAATCTCTAAAATTCAAGTTTCTAAGAGTAGATTCTCTAAATACAGGATATCTTCTGTTTTAAAGAATTGATACTTGAAAAGAAGCTTCAAAAGACTCCATATTATTACTCTATAATGATTTCATAAAATAAATAATAAATTTTAATACTCTAATTGAATGATTGGTCATTGACATAAAAAAATATGTTAAATAATATGATAAATAAAATATCAGAAGCAATCAATAAATTTTTCTTGACAAAAACAAAATGAAGAGCCAGAATATAGAACGTCTTTGAAGTGCATACACAATTTTTTTTATAAATATAAGGATGCTCTTCATGTCTTGTGAATCAATTATGGTTGAGTGGTTGTCAATCCTGTATAACTAACATTGTTCTTATTATAATAACTTCCAAATATGTTATTTCTGACATTCCTTTTTGCAGGTGGTCTCTTGTGGGCCCACAAAATGACATTCAGTATGAACCCTTTGCTCTCCCCCAGAACGGATTGCCCATCCAGCTCTCTCTCAAGAGATAAATGAGAAAATTGCTGAGTAGAGCGATAGAACTCATTTCATTGTAAAAATCGATTATGAATAATAAGTTTTTCCAAAACATTTGGTCATGAATAACGAAACGACGAAGAGTCGTCTGCAGGGGCGGATCTAGCCTTGAAGTTGAACACGAGGTACAATACAAATATACATAGATTTATCTTTAAAAAAATCTAAGAAAAATTAGACATTTTCAGGATCCAGGCACGGACTATAGCATGGTCGAGCTTGTGCCTGAATCCACCAGTGGTCGTTTGCATAGAAAGTACTCTTTGGACAAAGATGAGAAAAGTTAAAGAGAAGTATTGCTTGTAACATGGTCTTTTATTCAAAATTAGCTAGAGTACTGAATAGGTTATCTTTTCTTACAATTGAATCATATGTACAAAAAACTATATAATAAGCAATTTGTGTTTATTTTCAACATGTTCTTATCGCAATGACATGTGTGGATATGAAACATTCAATTATGAAGAAGAAAAACAAAAGAAATGATAGAAAAATAGGGCACTTTCTGTCACGTTGATTTTCAAAGGGAAAAAGGGCTCAATGTATCTTTAGAAATGTGGTCAAGACCGGATAAGAACTCAGTTCTTTTGCAGAGAAGAAGAGTTTTACACATTGGTGGGCTTGACAAAATGCCATATGCGCGGTAGCAGTGCAAGCAAAAATTGTCAAGTTATTGAACTGTGAAACTATGATTTCGATTCTGTTAGTTTGAGTCTGTATAAACCTGTCATGATCA